TTTTTTTTTTTTTTTTTCTTTTTTTCTTTTCTTTTCTTTCTGGTTATGGCTCAACTAACCAGACCCCTCAAGTGGAAGTAGGGGCAAAATGTCCACATTTTTTTTTTGTTTAATCTCCTAACTATGAGGAGCATAGATTGACTTGAGTTTTGGTCTCCTGGACTTACCTAGGTTTAAGAGATTACTTATGTTGTTGGATAGGTAGGTTGAAAGGATATATGACATATGCTTAGTTGTCTCATCTATCTGATCCGCAGTTGGCAACTTCTATGCCCACTCCTACCCTATGTCTTTGGTGTCATTGCCCCTTGCAGTTGGCAACTTCTATGCCCACTCCCCACAGCATTCAAGGTTACCAAATTTCTTCTCTCACGGTAGTGGTAAGTCATTTGTTATTCATAAGTATGATGTGTACATGCCGGTATCTATACTTGTCACTATAAATATTTCTAAATAAATAAATGAAAACCCAAGTTTGAAAATATTGAATCATATTCATTGAATTTGGTGTGGAGTAATTGCTCCAAAACTTGAGAAGGCGGCTAAACAACTCAACTATGAGACTCTTCTTGCTACAATTTATTTCCAAAAATATATTGGTGCTGTATTTTTGATCCAACTATCACACTGTTCTTCAATTCAAACTTGTTATCTCTTGCTACTTCGCTGGATCGCTTTCTCCCGCCACACACCCACAGTAGGGCGCTCAAATTTGCGACGTTGTTTACCAGGTTTTTCCTCCTACCTCCATTATTTCCATCTCTCCCGCTTCCTTATACTAACCCGTCCACAGCGGCGCTAAACTAAAATATTTTGTGGGGTTTCAAAGGCTTCATTTTTAAATTCCTAATGAATTGTGATTGCTGTTCTTCTTCGTTCTTTCGTTGGGCTTTTGGGCTTCAATTCATGATTCTAAGAAACTCGTTTTATCCTCTCAAGTTTTTCTTTCTAAACAAATCCCCCTGGCCACTTTTGGAGAAGAGGTAACTATGAAAGTCCCAGTTACACGAGGCTAATTTAGAGAATAATTATGAATTTATAATTCATCAATAATGGTAACCTTTCAAAAGCCAAAAATAAATTCATGACAATAATAATATCATACCATTTTAGGTTCAATTAGCATTTCGGGTAGGTTTGGTCTATTTTTCTCAACCCGAATTGAATCGATTCGGTTTCGGGTTCATGGTCAAAACTTTTGGATTGACCCAAACCAAATAAACAAATATATAAAATATATTAAGACTGCTTCCGTGTTAATGGACATGCAAGAGTGGTACTGAGGTTGGTTGAGAGATAATTATGTTTTGAGTTCGACATTAGTTAAAAAAAAAAAATTTATTATTATGTTTATATTATTTTATTGTTTTTAATTTGTTTGTTCTGTCTTATTTTGTTATTTTAAATTTGCAATTCACATGTATTAATACATTTTTGTTAATAAATTATATATATATATATATATATATATATATATAATTTTAAAGCATATTCAAAATTCTAAATTAATTTGTGTTTGTTTATGAACTTTTAATATATTTTATCTAAAATTATATAATAATTATAAATTGTGGGTTAGGTTGGGTTGGGAAAAGTTTTGGTTTGGGTTGGGAAAAGTTTCGGGATTACCAATCCAACCAACCCCTGCTTTTGGGTTGGGTAAAAAAAAAAATCTTCCAAACTCGACCATGTACACCCGACAACACCTCATAATTTTGGTGGAATTTTTAGGAAAGTGTTGAGGAAAATGTCTATGGATTATAGGTGACTAGAAATCTAATGATGGAGAGAGAGAGAAATTTGGGTGAATTTGCTAACTTTGAATGCCGCTATTTGAAGGAGTGGACTGGGTCATAGAAGGTGACAACTGCCACCGACAATAGGGATGTACATGTTCGGTGGATTGGGAGATTTTTTTGACCCAACCCAAAAGTTCATTGGATTGGTAACCCAACCCAACGCGAAACTTTTCACAACCCAATCCAACCCTCTATTTTCGGGTCAACCCTCTATTTTCGGGTTGGGTTGTCAATTTTTTTTAAAAATTTTTTATTTACACACAATTTATAATTATTCGGAAGATAAAATATATTAAAAGTTAAAGAACACAAATTAATTTATAATTATTGACAAATAATAATAATAATAATAATAATAAATTCAATAAAAAATAACGAGCAAAAATTGTAATATATTAACATAATTTAACATTGTCATAAAATTAGAGACAATTAAATACCGACATTTTTTAGAATTGGTTAAAATAATAAAAATACAAGGGTAGATCATGAAATTAAATAAATAAAAATAATTAGTTTAAGAGTATTTTATATAACAAAAATAAAAAAATATATAAAAATATTTTCATTGAGATATGCTTATTTATACACCGCTTTAGAAAAATAAAAATGTGTTTAAATTATGATATAATAATGTTAAAATAAATAGATCATAAAGATATTATAGTTTAGAATATATTTTTAAATTATAAATACATATAATTTATGGAGTATTTTATATAACAAAAATAAAAAAAATATATAAAAATATTTTCATTGAGACATGTATTTGGATGATGGCTGGCGTCGAACTCCGGCGTTATTGATCTACAAATGGACTTCCACTAAAACAAGAGAAGTCTGAATATATTTTATATAATTTAATTTTGACCGGGTCAACCCAAAGGTTTTGCCCATGGACCCAAAACCGAACCGATTTAATTCGAGTTCAGAAAAAATCAACTCAACCCTACCCGAAATGCTAATCCAACCCAATCCAACCCTTATAGTTCGGGTTGGATTGGTCCGGGTTGTCGGGTTGCCGGGTTGAATGTACACCCCTAACCGACAATTACATTTTTTTCAAATTTCCATGTAACGGAGACAAGGGTTTTGTGGACATCGTGCATTTGTGTTGGGCCTTGGGCTGGTGTATCCAAATCTTCTTATAATATTGGGCTCATTGGGCATCATTGGTGTTTCTTGGGCGCCTTTTGTCTTGGACTCTTGAACCGTTTGAGTTGAGTTGAGTTGAGTTAGGTTGAAAAATACGAGATAGAGATGAGATTGTTGGGAATCAATTAATAGCTCTCAAAAGGTTAACACAACATCTCCCCTTCTTTTTTTTAATCTAACTACCCAACCAACTCGGGAATAACCAGCTTTCAACTCGTTATCATGCCTTGAAGATGACTATGATAGCAATCTTGAAACAACCAACGTATAACTACCGTTAATTAGTTATCATCACCTGAAAGTGACTATGATCATAACCATGAAATAACCCTAAGTGGTGAGAGAACCGTGATTCATTTTCTTTCCTGGGAAAAGTAAATGAATTTTAATGTAGATTTTTATAATTTTTATAATAATAATAATTATTATTATTATTTTTTTAGGATTTAGCAAACATGATCCTACGGTAGGTATCATGAATATTTGTTTTATGAGTTTTTTTAACACCTAAAATTATGGACATGAAATTGAATAGATAAAAAATTAGTTTGAATCAATTTAAAAAATTTATTATAAAAGTGAGGCACCTCATTTTATTTTTTATTTTTTTTTCATTGGCTTAAAGTAAAATATTTTTACAGTTTTATTATTATTTTTTATTTTTGTTATGTATAGTAATTTTCGATTCTATTGAATACTTATAAATTATAGATAAATAATTTTTTTTTTAATTTTTTACAAAACCAACTAGAACAATCCAATTGGAAAATAGAAAGTTGGGTTAGGAAAATTTTAGGGTTGGATTACTTATCCAACTCACACAAACACAAAGGGTCAACAAGGTCAACTAATAAAACTAATAAAATATATTTTTATTTTCGTTTCTTTTCTCTAGGTTCCGAAGCAAATTAGGGCTTTTTTATATTACTTGCTAATTTATTCATTACATTCCAGTTTGTGGTTTGAAAGGATGGTTTAATGGAAATAAAGAATGTGTTAACTGGTTTCATTTATGAATAAGTGTTACATATGTTTGGGGTTTGCTTCATTCCCCCGCCCACCCCTTTTTATTTGCAAACAAACCCTTTTCCTTTCGTCTTGTAACAATGGTGAGTTCCGCCGCTGCCCAGGAGACCCTTTGCAGCCTCGCTAATCTCATCTCCTTCGCCCTCGTCTTCCCTCCACTGTGAGCTCTGTCTCTGTCTTACTTGCTTACCCTAAACCTGACATTGTTGTTTACATTTCTGAATGTCACGTAATTCAGGCGAGCAGCTTATCAAATCATAAAAAGAAGGTGGGTGGAGGAGTTGGAGCTATGTCCTTACCTTGCAAACCTTCTACACTATATGCTTTGGCTCATCTATAAGATTATTCAGCCTCACTACATTTTGTGCATCCCCGTTACTCTTACTGGCTTGCTTGCTCAACTTCTTTATTTGTTCATCTTCTACCGGTTTTCCGATAACCCTGGACTGGTATTTTTCTTTAATTAACTACTTTAATTATACTAATATATTGTCTTGTTATTTCAATTTATTACTCTTTTCCTATCTTTCTGATTTATTTGATTATAGATAGATAATGTTCACGTTCACGCCATTTAGGTGAGGTGTCTTGAGCAAACATTTTCTACATTTTGTGGAGTATCTGCTCGAATGTCTGTGTCATCATCTTCAATTAAATCCCACAAATTTTGCCTTTGGTAGATAAGCTTCCATGCATAACTTCCAATAACTATAGTTATTGCTAACGAGCTTTTCCATAGATATACATAGAAGCTTTTAGAATGTTTCTCATACTTGCTTTGGTGACTTTAAATCACGAACATGATCAATATATTCCTTGCTAATCAAAGTTCGCAAGGTAAATAAGGCTTTTTCGCATTTGATCTTCCATTGTCGGCGTAATTCTACATTTTGTGGAGTATCTGCTGGAATTTGTGTGTGTCATCACCTTCAATTAAATCCCACAAATTTTGCCTTTTATAGATAAGCTTCCATGCATAACTTCCAATAACTATAGTTATTGCCAACAAACTTTTCCATAGATATACCCATAGAAGCTTTTAGAATGTTTCTCATACTTGCTTTGGTGACTTTAAATCACGAACTTTAAATCAGATGGAGCCGATTGATTACTCTTCGGCTCCACCCTTTTGACCTCCAAACCACCCTTCGCCATACTCTGTACATACAACCTCACCTTCTCCAACACAATCAGTTTCCCCTTAGCCAACATAATCTCTCTCATCTTCTTCCCAATCAACCCTTCATCCTTCATAGAAACCCTAATCTCAAGATTCTCATCAACATTCTCTTCAAAAATATACGGAATCTCGATAAGCCCATCGACCTTCTGTAGAGATTTACCTTTGGAATCTGGGTGCTGCACTATCCTCTTCACCAACCAAGTCGCCGCTGCCCTTCTCGCCAAAATTGGCTCCTTCGCCCATTGTGGCGACTCTTTCGGCTTCAACATTGTGTTTGTCCCTTGCTCTAGGTTTCCCCTTCTACTTCTTGGATTAGACATATTCTCACCGGAGCCAAGGCAACATTGTCGGTGAGCAACGATCACTCTTTATGTCGCTGAGTCAAGGCAATATCTAGATATTTTCGTTCTATTACAACTTACTATACGTGTCTTTCATTTATTGTATTTCCATTTATTAATCTTTTCATATTCTTATAATGTATTTTATTATAAATAGATAAGTTTCACCGACTGAGCATAATATAATTGGTGTTGTTATGATTTCAGCATATACTGGGCATTTGTCTTGTGTACGTACTCATAGTTATGGCTGCCACTGTTGCTTTAGTTTTGTATGAAACCGAAGATAGGGCGTTGAGGATTCAAGCAATTTGTAACTTTTACAATATTCTGATGAATATTAAACCTATAACCATTGTGGTAAGTGATTTATTAATATATGATATGGTTTATTTTGAATAAATAAATTTAGGGTTTACTGTTAACTTGATTCATTGATTGATTGATTAGATAAAGATGATAAGAACAAAGAGTGTGAAGCATGTGTGTTTGGCTGTTTCATTGACAAGCTTCCTCAATGCCTGTGTTTGGACAGCTTATGCCATCCTCAAACATGATGTCTACATGCATGTACGTATAATTGTATCTACAAATATTTATAAATAAATAAATAAATGAAAACCTAATTTATGATATGAATTGAATTTTGCAGATAAGCAATGTTGTTGGAGTGATTTCAGGTCTTCTTCAACTCATTGTTTATGCTTACTACTCCTTAATTGCTTCAAAACTTGATGAGGAGAAGGCAGAGGAAGAACTCAAAAACATACCCGTGGATGGAGCAGATACAGTTTATTGATCTCAAATGTGTTGTTAACAACAACAAAAAAAAACAGTTTTGAGTACAAATTTGAGGCGTTGGAAGTGTGTATTTCTTGTTTATTTCGAGGAATATATTGTTGTTGTATTGTTTGATCCAATTATGAGACTGTTGTTGAATTAAAACTTGTTTTCTTACATTCCTATAATTCCGGTTGTATTTTTATATATATTGGAGGCTGTTGTAATCCAGGGCGGCGCTAAACTAAAATATTTAGGGTTTGAAAAGCTTGAATCTTTAATTCTTAATGAATTTGTGGTTGATGTTCTTGTTCTTTTGTTTGGCTTCTGGGTTTGAATTGATGGTTGTAAGAGAAACACAATGATTTTATACAAATGCATAAGCTGCCGGAGAAACTTGTTTTATACAATCCCTGATTTAGGGTTTTAGGGTTCTTATTTTGAGATTGCTAAGAGACAAAAAGAAAAAGAAAACAGGAATTTAGGGTTTTTGAAAGAAAGTCGGAATCCATCTAAACGGCGGTTTTGAGTCAGAATTTTCCCGGACTTCCTTCACAAGAATTGTTCATTGGTTTTGGGAGAACCATTATAGACGTTCGATTGATTCAAATCCATCCATAATCGAAGAAGAACCGAAAGTAAGCATTTCGAATAAAGAGTGAGTAAGAGAATGTGGTAAAGTCGATTTGAGAAAGGAACCGAGAGCTTTGAGCGGGTAAGAGAGTGCAATTTTTTTTTCTGTTTTGAGAACGAAGAACTTCTCACTTTGACATCTCTTACCAAAGTTGCTGCTTTTATGATTCTTGTTGCTATAAAAACTTCTCGATCAGATCTAAAGATGTCGAAAGGCTGATTGAGACTAGAAAAATACAAAACGCATACAAAAAAATGAAGCATAAGGTTCAAATACTTCTCTCTTTATCTTCACCGTTGCTCGGAATATCCTCGGTGTCCTCGGTACTCTCATCACCTTCCCCCTCTTCTTCTCTCCGCTGTAACCTCTCTCTACTCTCTTCTTTTTTACTTTTTACTTTTTTACTTTTACCCCTCCTTCCATCTCCAATATTATTATTCTTCTCGTTTTTTCATGTGTATAACACTGATATTTTCATGTGTATTTTTTCCCGCCACATATAATATGAATGGTATTAAAATGCATAAAGAGGAAGGGTCCAAGATAGATGGGCCCGACGTGGAATGAAATCCAAGGCCCAACAAGCCCAAGGTTATCCGCAAGAATAATTTTAAGCAAAGGCCCAACAGGCCCAACAAGCCCAACAAGCCCAATGTTCAAGACAAATGCATCAATCACATCAGTTTTTTTTTTTTTTTTTTTTTTTTTTTTTTTTTTTTTTTTTTTT